CTAGACTATGCATGATGTACAAAATGACTAATAAACTGGTGGATGTCCCAACTACTAAGTACCTAATACCAGCTCAGAAGAGAACAAGAAATAGCCACGCATTCAAGTACCAGAGTTATCAACCAAGGATTGAGGTGTTCAAGAATTCATTCTTTCCTAGAACTATCGCAGAGTGGAACTCACTGTCACCAAGTACAGTAGGGGCATTGTCAATAGATAGCTTTAAACAATGTCTAGAGCTAGAAGTTCAAGGGTTAGGTGGAACAAGTCGATCGGTGTAATATAGCCAGCTGCCGCCGCGCCGCGTGCCTGCGAAGCTGGTGTGTTACGCCGAAAGGCGGTTATACCGGCTATACAGATACAGATACAGATACAGATATTGCAGTAAAAACATCTTTAAGCACACGTTTTCTCAAGGTGGCGATATTAAAGACTATGGTGATATTATGGACACAGATGTTACATATCTGATTTTCAATGGGTGGTTTGTCTAGTCGCATAAGAAATATGAATTTTTCTACAGTACTTAAGCGCATGAAATAGGGGAATAGGTGTTGTACAAGCATATACAGTTCATTTCTCTCTTTGCTATACAGTTCACATTCTGTTACAAAATGGCGTTCGTCTTCTATTTTGTTCAAGTTACAATATTTACATAATCTGTGTGGTTTAGCAAGATAACTCGAGAAGCAGTGGATGGATTGGAATGAAACTTGGTAGGTGGATAGGTCTTCATGAGACCTAGAAATGATTAGATTTTGGGCTCCCTGGCGGCTTTCCTAGGTACTGTAGCTGAACTTCCGGTTTTGATATTTCATGTTCTGGACATGCTAGGGTCACGAAGTTTGGTTGGTAGATAGCTCTTGGGGTAGGGAAGAAGTGACATGAGTTTGGTCCCCTGGCGCCTTGTTCTGGAACTACAGGAGCATTTGTTGAAAAAAATTTGAAGGACGATAACTCAAGAACCGGTTGACGTATTATCGTGATTTTTGGTATGTAGGTACTAGTAGTTGAAGTGATGCTTGACATAATCAGATGGCAATTATGCAAATGAGGAGCTAATTTGCATAATTAATGAGGAAATTCTATAAATCTGCTTTGTTCGATAATAGAAATATGAAACACTTGTGGCATCTACTTGAGAACGAGAAAACATCTGAGGGTATAGATTATGTAAATGAGGGTCTAATTTTCATAATTAATGGCAAATTTTTATAATTCCATAGTTGTAACTGCTGCACCCCGAATTTATACTTGCCACATTTGGAAGTTAAGTGAAGGTGAACATCAATAAACATAATTTATTCAAATCATGACCTAATTTGCATAATTTATGTGGAAGTGCTATAATAGCCTTTTTGTTAAGAGAAGGCTGTCATTGGGTGGAGAATATGATCAACTGATATAATCCATGCAAATGAGGCTCTTATTTACTAAATCAATGATTGAAATTGTATAATTCATCACCCGCAAGGGTTAACATCATTTGGTGAAGGTATGAGATCGTGGAACTCTTGTTAATCATTACAATTGCGACAAAACGCGGTTAATCCATTATCCAACAAGAGTTTCGAGATCTCATACCTCCATGAAATATGGGCTTGCTTTCTCATCATTAATTATGCAAACAACCTCTACATTAACATAATATATGCATAGCGACGCAAACCTTTAAGTAACTTACACATGTTGCGAGGTATAAAATTCCCATCATTCATCAATAAGGATTCACATAATTTTCACATTAATTATGCAAATTAGATCATCATTTGCATAATCAATATCTGTTGATGTTCCGCCTGCCACAGATTAAATAGATTACATGTATAGCAGTACCATTATATGAAACACTGTAATTATAGAACTTCCGCATTAATTATACAAATTAAGTCCTCATTTGCATAATTTGCATTTAATCATGTACAACTGTCTCTCAGGTACCTACACACCAAAAATGATGAAAATACGTTGTTCCAATGTGGACTTATTGGCTTTGAAAGTTTTTACCAGAAACTAATCTGCAGTTCCAGAACAAGCTGCTAGGGGGACCAAACTTACGCCACTAATTTTTGACAGGATTAGCTATCTGTCACTAAAAAGTCAAGACCATAGCTTGTTCAGGACAAAAGATACAAAAACCAAAAGTTCTGCTGCAGTACCAAGGTCATCCACCAGGAGGCCCATACTTGACCTTGACCTTTGTCTTTCGAAGACTTACCATCATACCAAATATCATCACAATCCATGAAGGCATTCTGAAGTCATGCTGACTACAAAGTTGCGGAAACACACACAGACAGACACACAGACAGACAGACACACACACAGACATACATACATACATACAGACAGACACGCCAAAAAAATTTATTTCAGGAATTCTAAGACGAACTGTAAAACACAAACATTTCTCTAATGTGTGTGTTACGCTGAAGAACGACTAGCTGGCCAAGCATTTTTAAAACCGTTTTAACGTCATCTTACACCGAACCTGGGGTTAGACGTGCTTGCACGAAATGCAAGTCTTTTTGTTGAAGCAAGATTTTTTACGGCTGGATGCCCTTCCTAACGCCAACCCAACCCTACTAGGGCCCAGGAACCCTCTAACTGAGGGGGGAAAGACGTGTTATTAAAGTGCCTTTCCCAAGGGCACAACGTCTGGGTGCATGTCCAGAAATGTCTGAGTCCAGCCCTGGGGATTGAACCTTGGTTCAGTTGCTTGACAGTAGGATATTCTATCCACTACACCACACATACGCCACATATAAACTATTAATACGGATGTCCACTACGTTGTGTTTTACCTGCTCCCGAGCCGTCCTCTTCCTTGAACAATGCTGGGATGTCGATTATGTCTCCTTCTGTCAGACCCAACTCGCGCTTCAACTTGTCACGATTCCAGTCGATATCATCCTTTTAAATGAAAATGTACAATAAAACGACAAAGATGTTTCCTTCAACTCTATAGTCGTGTGACAAAAAAGGAATGTCTACAAACAAGTATGAGTTATTTACTAACGGATGGAGTTTGACCTTGACCACAAAGTATCACATTCACTAGTTTCCCATCCCCAGAATGCAACGCGAAAACAGGGTTTCTAACCTCATTTGCAAAGGATAGGAAGGCATCGGAATGATTCTGTTGACGTTAAACAGCTTGTTTTTCAGTGTGTTTTGAGATACTGGGGCATTTTATGCTCAAGGTTAATTAAATTACTATGGTTTGAATCTGACAATGAGGTTAGACCCCCTGTTTTCGCGTTGCATTCTGGGGATGGGACACTGGTGACACGCACACTTGGAACTTTGAGATGTCTGATTCTGCCACTGCAACACTGTTAATATTCATTTACTTCTGGGTGAGAAACATATGTACAAAACTTATAACCAGATTTTCTGAGTTTTAATGTTTTAAATAAGACCTTTTCAGAATATTATCTTGGCCGTCTTCTAAACCACCATGGTCTGACAAACCTGGAATACTTGGTTTTCCTCCCTCAACTTGCTGTCCTGTAAAAGTTGCTGTACCGTGACAGCAGCTGGTGTTCCATATCTCTCTTTTCCTGGATAAATAACAAAAACATTATCTGTTAGCACCTCTAGCTGTCAGAGATAACAGCTTTAGAAAGTTGTGTGAAAGACAAAGATAATGACTGGAAAGGGTACAGAACCAAGCTGCAAGATTCTGCACGAACAACTTAACTATCAAAGGGCGCTAGTGTAACGGAAATAAAAAGAAACCTACAGTGGGGGTCGCTGGAAGACAGACGTAGAATTTCCAGACTGTGCATGATGTACAAAATGACTAATAAACTGGTGGATGTACCAACCACTAAGTATCTGATACCAGCCCAGAAAAGAACAAGAAACAGTCATGCCTTCAAATATCAGAGTTATCAACCAAGAATTGAGGTATTCAAAAACTCGTATTTCCCCAGAACTATTGTAGACTGGAACTCGTTGCCGCCAAGCACAGTTCGGGCAACATCGCTAGAAAGCTTCAAACAACGCCTGCAATCAAATGTGCAAAGATTGAGTGTAACAAGCCGTTCGGTGTGATATAGCTAGCTGCCGCCGCGCCGCGTGCCTGCGAAGCTGGTGTGTTATGGCTATACAGATACAGATACAGAATTCCTATGTATATTGGCTGACAGCTGGTACAATACGTACCTTCGAAGAGAGGGACATCCCCGTGCCCCTGTCCCTGCAGCCATCCTAAGTAGGCGTAGCAGGCATCTGGACTGGCGAGTAGTAGCCGGAAACCCTGAACAACATGTCATCAAACCAAAATGAGATGCCATCATTTACAACACTATAAAGAATCAATCTAAAAATCACTAAAAATATCACTAAAAATAATGACTACCACATATATACTTAAATAGTCTAAAATGTCTAGTAGGTAAAACAGGTAAAATATATTAAGAATTAAACATTTGATGAGCTATTTAAACAGAGGAGGGGGGTGAAAACGTTACAAGGAAAGAATATAGACTTGCCTTTCCTCCCCTTGCTGGAACAAACGTCATAAACTCGTCAATATGGCCGACTGCCAACCAATCAGAGTAGAGCTCTATAGGCGACTGGACTCTCTGTGCCTTCAGGAAACTGCGGACAACTTTCATCATCCTCCGTCCGTACTGATTTCTGCTGACAGAAAATGAACATTTGAAATTACAGTCTTTCGCTGCCAGAGGTTAACTGGCCTCCAGGGAATCAATTAGTTGGCTTCTAGGCGCGATTTACTCGGGCTTCATTTAACATTGTCTACACTGCAGCCAGCAATAATGGGCATAGCATGTCTATTACATGAGATACAAAAACTCAAATGTCCACTTCAGTACAAAACAAGAAGTCGGAGATCTCATACCTCCATGAAATATATGAGTTTTTGTAAATGTTTTTACACAGTACACTACACTACAGTACAGAACAAGATAACACAGGTTTTTGTTTTCAAACACACAAGCTAATAC